TTTCCAGTATCAGGGCAATTTGCATCGTATGTATATCAGATTCTCTGTATTTAAATAGTAATATAAGTATGTTAAAGTGGATTATAAGAAATACAGACAATGCGTTTTATCACTAGTGTTTCTTTTCGTCTCTTTAGAAATCTACTTTTAAGTCATCTTATATGGCATTCATTTGCAAGGATGTGGCGATTCTATATCAGTCATTGTCATAGTTGGTAGTAAATTATAATCTTTACTTTTTTCTTGAATTAAAAACAAAATACTAATTACCAGATAAGGGATAATACTAGTTAGTATTATAATATTGTTATATAATAAAAATAATAGGTGCTATTTAATAATCAGACCTAGATAATCGTGTAGGCTACAAACAAAGTCAACAAATTTCGTATATTAAAAAGTTCCCCTCTCCAATTTTCAATCTCAGATACCTATTCAAAACTCTCACCCTACTTTAAACTACCACCAAACTGTAATTACAGCCAAGTTCTATTCAGTTATGACTTTGTCTGACTCAACATCTAAATATTACAATCGTTGTATGTGTAGATATTTAAAACACTCTGGTCTTTATTTTCAGATAAGAACTCGGTGTCAAGAACAGTTGAAAGAGAAGTAGATGAAGCTACCTATGAAAAGGAATTATTTATGAAAAAAAAAGATGAACAAACCATAACGGAGGAAAAACATGAAGATACCAGTGAAGATAAGAAACGGATGTTTAATGAAATTAAACCAAGTAAAAAAAGCAAAATGGTTTCCATTGTAGCAAAAATGGGAGAAATATATAACAATATACAGACCCAGACGACAACTGATACAAAAAGTCTACCCCATAGGATTAGGACAATAAAAAAGATTAAACTTCTTGATGGCACTATTAAAAAACAAGACAACGTCAAAGATGATGTGAAGCAAACGGTGACGACTTTTCTTAAAAATAGACTAAGATACTCCTCTGTTAATAAGGGGAATAAGGTGCTAAATGACGTAGTGAAAAGCCAGCATCTACCACCAAGCAACGATGTTAGAAAAAAGCAAGTACTTCGAGTTGATGATGTAGAAAAGACGAAAGATGGTTATGCTGCCAGAGAAACGACAGGTGATCGTGCTGAAACAAAGAAACAAGGTGGAGATGTATTTTCAATAAAAATTAAAGTCGTGGTAGGTGCTAACGACAGAGAACTAAATAATGATGCAACATATAGTAAAGAATTAACAAAAAAACGTACAGAAATATATTTTCC